ATAGGTGAGAGTAAATGAAAAGAGGATAGGGTGAATAAAGTTGACATAAGCACGCGCACTTCAAAAAGAAAGTCATCGTCAGGCCTGTCGGCAGAGTGCTCTTTTGTCCTCAGAGCCGGTCAAGATGGACCCAGTCAGTTCAGGAGGTAGAGAAATCCTAGTTTGGGGTGGACCCCATTAGGCAGGAGTCTTTGTGGCGTAGCGTACGCGCCGAGATTGGTTGTAGTCTCCCAGTACGGCTGTTTAGGTGGGGGGCTCCTGCAGGATCCATTGTTGGGTTCATAAGGTTACAGAAAAGGCGGAGAGATGCAACTTTTCTGCGATGGGCGATGGTACGCCACTTTGCAGCTTTTAGGAGGTCAGAAGTGGAGATTTCTCTGTAGGGCAAGACTGCGAACGACGGTGCAGCGTGTAGACGGCCCTGCGCTGCACAGTTTCCAGGGCATCTCGAAGGGTCTTTTGATGGGGGCTACACACTGACAAGCAGAACTCTAGACGGGGGAGTACTAATGCGGTGAAGAGGTTCTTAAAAGCACTTGGTGTCATGCCACGTATTAAGTGGGTTACAAAGCCCATTGTTCGGCGTGCCTTTGATATAATAGCACGTATATGCTTAGCAAAGTTCAGACGGTCATCAAAGGCTACTCCCAGTAGAGTAGTTTGATGAACTCGCTTAAGGGGAGAGGTGCCTAGGGTGAGAGGCTGGGGAGGGAGACGCTTTTTTTCACTTGGCACGCATCCAAGTCGTCTTGAAGTTCCTGGTACGAGAGAAGGGATCTGATAGGCTTTACCAGGGTCCACAGCCACAGCCAGGAATGGCTCTGGAGTGAAGGTTTGGCGGGATTCCGTTAACGTAGATTGAAAAGAGAGTAGGGCCAACTATGCTGCCCTGAGGCACTCCCGAGCGAACTGTGCGAGACGATGATACAGAACTCTGGAACAAAACGCGTTGTGTCCTTCCAATGACTAGGTCACAAAGCCATCGGAGTAGGGGTCCCCTGGTACTTGCATCACTGATCTTCTTGAAGAGATGTTGGTAATCAATGCGGTCAAACTCTTTCGAAAAATCCACCTGCACTAGTTCACAACGTATGCAGTTGTCGAGAGATGCATTTGCAGTATGCACGATGACACCCAATGCAGTTTCGTAGCTCCGTCCAGGACGAAATCCATGTTAGGCCTTCCATAGGATACTGTTTTCTTCAAGGTGGAATAATATATTCTTGTTGACAATTCGTTTAAGAGTCCTCCAGACAGTTGGTGTAATGGCAATAGGGCAGTAGTTCGCTATTTGGTCAGCACGTAATCCATTTCCCTTACGCACTGGGGTTATAAGGGCCTGTTTCTATGACGAGGGAACAGAGCCAGCACCAACAATCCTTTGGAACATCCTGAGTACAGGGCGTAAGATGGGATTGGCAAACTTCAGGAGGAGTGTACAGTGTCTGGACCAGGACTCTGAAAAGGGCGGAGTCTCGACAGAGCCTCTTCCAGGTCATCTTCTGTAATGGTAATGGAGGATGAGGTACGTGCAGCACTGCTCGACATTGTTTCGAGCGTTTCCTCTAAGGTTGATAAGGCGGACAGGGGGTTGCTGCAGTTGGACCAAATTGAAGCAAAGTGAGCGCTGAAAAGTTGGCTACCTCAGTAGGATGAGTGACAGGCTTATATCGTGAGTAAAGGATGGACTCAATGATGCTTTCCGCTGGCGCTTGACATATGTCCAGAAGCACTTAGGTTGCTTAGAAACCAAGGCCGCAGTGTCCACAACATACCTCTGGTGTGCTACATAAACTTGCTTCTTTAGTTCCTTCTGGAGGCATTTGGCTGCAGCAAGGCAGGTGAGGGAGTTTTTCTTCTTAGCCTTCTTAAACAACATTCACTTTCGCCTTAAAAGCTCAATGATCTCTTTCGTAATTCATGGGCTTTTCCACTTTTGGTACGGGCGAACCAGCGGTACACATTCAGCTTCGGTGACAGACATTAGGTCTAACCAGGTTTCGTACATGTTGTCGATAATAGCTGCATGAAGGATCATTGACCACAGTGCTAAGCGCACACGGTTTTGCAGATGTGAAAAGACCACGGAGCAAAGTGCATAAGGTGTTGCAGATGCGTAAAAGAATACCGACAATGGCATTCTTTTACGCACTGTCACAACCGTGCCACGACTTTAAAGACAGGCTTCAACCATCGGTGTCTCCTCCGCTATGTTGTCCAGACAAAGCAACATACGAGGGACGCCGTCAATGCAAAAACAGGGAGTGCATATCAAAGTCGGCGAAAGCCTCTTTTGACTTCCCCAAATGAGCCGTGTCATCGCATGCCCCAGGAGCCGGCGTTAGGACAAAAGGATCTCCCCGTTTCGGAAACCAGCATAGGACAGAAGGAAAACCTTGAAAGACACTTGGTGCTTCGTGAATACTTCGTTTCAGCTTACGATGAACTGCAGCATATGCTACGAGCCATTCAATGTCATGTAACCTTCCGGAGAGGTGGCAGTGACGCGCGGGGATCGAAATTATGTGATACATTAGCTGCCCTGGGTTGGCTGGAATGACATGTAGAGTCTGCTGCGGTCCAACGCAAGGTGAAGCAGAGTATAGACCGAGTTTTGCCACAAAAACCGGCGAGAGTGTAAACAAATGAAGAAAAGACATTGAAAGACCGACGGGGTGGCCCAGGCACCCTGCGCTACCACTACAGACGCTTTATTTTTTCTCGCCTTGCTTTTACGCCTATTCCAGTGTCGGCACCCTCTTTTTTAATGTATGGCCCGCGTTTCCAAACCCAAAACTGCTTTTCTCGTTTCTTGTTTTTAGCGACATCCTAGTGAAATTTACTTTTTATTTTCTATTTCCTTCAAAGGTGAACAATAAACGCGTTAGTATTTTGTTCTCAAAATGTTAGAAAATGCGCTATGCTACTCCTCAACCCCGGCCCAGGAACAAAATAATTTGCTACAAGTCTAAGCAACAGTGAGAACATGTATGCTACTCTGCCCAGCCCGCAGGCCGTGCCAGGTCGGGTCCGGCCTTTTGTGTTGTTCCCGGGCCCGTGCAGAGCTCTAGATAGAACTTTGCCTTAATTCTCATCAATTATATACATGCTCATGCGGTCGAACAGAGCATTTCTGCATGCCTGTCTTGTACAGTGTGTGTGTGTGTGTTTTTTTTTTATTGCTTGTCATGTTTGAGAAGGGGAAAGTGAAGAAGGAGTACATGCAAGCTCTAGGTGACTCCCGACGAGAAATAAGAACGGAGTTGAGAGGTGACTTTTATCAGAAGACATTTGAAATCTAGAACGTTATGAGACTTCTTATTGAGTAAGAACTTCTATCTAAACAATGTTTCAAATTATTAAATAAATAAAAAAAATACTTGGCACTTTCACCTCACCTGCGTATTTGTCCCTGCAACACTTATTAAAATAACATTTGAAAAACCTCACTCATTGTTCCAGGTTAGCAGGTCTCAAATTTTTATCCATTAGATAAACATTTATTGAATAAAAATAAAGCACGTGAAATATGCAGAGAGAATCTGAAGGCGGCCAGACACCTAATTGAGCGCCAAATCGACTTTTTAAACAAATTTCCGTGTAAATAGGTACACAGGTATAATAAGGTGGTGCATTTGTTTAGCAAAATATATAATGATTTGTTCACTTAGTAAAGGAGCATAGAAACAAAAATCTACATTTTCTATACTTTGATCGCGTGTAACAAATAATTTTTGGGTCATTGCCCTGTTTATTTTGACAAACTGAAGAGGATATCTAAGCAAATTTTGCTTAGATACCCTCGGGGCCATAAGGCATTAGAGAGGGGAGTAGGTGTTAAGTACAATGTTTGATACTGCTTCTCGGAATCTGATCGGGTCCTGGATGGTGACGATGTCGTCGGGAAGGTCATTCCAGTCCACACTTGCATTCTTTATAAACGCCACAATGGCCTAATGTTTTAATCGATGATTTCACACAAAAAGGCTCAGCGTGGATTCGTTATTAGGCAAAAAAGCAATCTTCAGTTTTTTTGTTTGTTTGTTTTTTTTGGAGGGGGAGTTTTTATTTTCTTTAATGAATTTTGTTTTTCTATTTTCACTGCAATCGTGGGACCTTCTTTTTTTTTTCTACCTTGCACTTGGGACCAGTTGTTCCTAACTATTTTCTTCTACAGGCTCTTTCAGTGCTACAGAACAACCCTATGGGGAGTATTCACTGGACGCCATATTTGTGGGTACTGTTCAAAGCGCATGCTCAGAACGAGCTCACATCAATAGGCTGCTAAGACCGGCACTCTGCATGGTGCGGAATGCACTTTGCAAAATAACTGTGGAAGCTCGCCATCAGCACGCGCTCAGCATTCGCGCACACAGCTATGGCCGCCAGTGAATACTCCCTATATAAAGGGTCCTGTCCTCAATAAAGGTTTAGCTGTGTTTGAGACGTTCTCCTTCTCTTCCTTGTCGTCGTCTGTCAATACCTCAGTCTCGGGTTTTTCACTAAAATGTTGGATATACACCAGCTCACTTGCGCTCTTACGTTCTGCTCATTAGAACAAAATACTATGAATGGTTGCTGCTAGCCATAATGAGGTATAGCATGTTCTCACAAATTTCCAACACTCCGATGATGATAGCGATTTAAGTGAGCAGACTGAATTTCAGAAAGGTTCCAACCCGTCAGGCAGAAATGTCTTTTTTCCCTCACCCTACCAAGCTCCGGCGTCAAATAAAAAAAAATAGAGCTTGGGGGGAAGGGGAAAGGGGTTGAACACCCCCTCCCCCTGTCGGTGCACCATTGATCTAGAAGCAGTGGTGTGTCACTTGCTCGAAACAAATGCAATTCATGATACTGCACCCAATAAGATGGTACACTGTTTAAATTTTTTTTTTTTTTGCGGGGGGGGGGGGGGGGAGGTTCTAAATTAAAGTTAAGCTTTGTTTGAGCTCTGTTTGAAGAATGCACATGTGAATAATGCTCCTTTTCTTTCCCAACAGTTTCCTCGATGACTTAGACCGTTTGGGCAAGAAGGAGTACATGCCCACGGAACAGGACATCCTGCGGACAAGAGTCAAAACAACGGGCATAGTAGAGGTTCACTTTTCCTTTAAAAACTTAAATTTCAAGTAAGTGCCTCCTACAGACTACCTTGATCCCATCTTGCTTCGCAAAGGGCCCTGACATAATCAAATAAAGTGTGAACTAATAGATTAAAAGTGAAAAGTACATTATTTATACCCACATTAATTTAAAAATTTGCTGCAGTTTACACAAATCTACTTTTGTAATTTGGTGTTCCTCCTGACTTCCAACTTTTAAAGCACCCTGATGGCTCCAAAATGTGCATTTCCAGTGCTAAAACATTAGATAAAATATCCAAATCTCTGAACAAGCTTCTAAAATGTGGACAACATTTTGACCTAAAATTAGTGTGCGATACCTGTATTACATGAAACCAGTTATTTATAATAGTATGAATAAGCAACATCTAAATGTCATGTTTTCACAAAGGTTGAATTTTTTTGTGTTTTATCCTACGTTATCAGCATGCTTTTATGTTCGAGAATGAGGCCTCTTTTCTATTATTGTGAAACTACTGGTATTTAAATGTTTCCCAAGTCAGTGCTTCTTTGAGCTTACGATAGAAGTTCATAAGAGTAACACAGTAGCCTCAGTGATATGAAATATTGTGTCACTGAGAATACACGGTATTCTCAGTGTCATGAAATGTTGTAGTAAGCAATGCGCTGTTTCACAATTAAGAGAAAAAATCACTGTAATTGTTGCAAAAATAGTTCAGAAAACCACAGATGTGGTTATTTATTTGGATTATGAAGAAACCGAGTCTCAAAAGGTTCCTTTTCGAGTTAGAAAAACAACCAAGCTCGCATTGAAATGGCAGCAGCACGCCAACACGAAAATAAAAAGAGTAAAGAAAACATAAAGTCAGACTATTTTTTACTTGAATCAATAGCTGTGCTTATGAATGAGACCACAAATTAGTTTAGAGACAAGCTAGTTTGTGATGGTGCAGTTTTATAGCAAATTTGTCTCGGATGAAGGGCCTTTTATAAAGTACAAAGAATGCTTTTATCACAGCCTGATGTACTCGCGGCAAAAGGAACCTTTACGAAATAATTTTCAGGCTTGGTATTTCCCGCCTGTTGTAGTAGAGTGTCATAGGTAATCCCCATTTCTTTGAATTCGTGCCTTATTCAATTTAATCTGAATTCCTATACTTTCGAAGGAACCTACTGGAATCCTCAAAAACGCAGTCAACATTTCACTGACAGACGGCCAAGACTCTTAGCGAAACTTTGACAGCCACACTCCAAAAGCTTTCTTTCAAGTTCTTCCTATTGTCTTCACCACCTTTATGCTTTATTTGGAATTCCATATGCTAGAAATCGGGCACCCACAGTTGGATAGCGTCTGCAACATGCCCACTGTTGGAAATGTGACTGTTGAGTTAAAGTTGTTGACTTGAGCACAAGTATCTGCACTATCTGAAGTCTCAAGGAAGAGGCACAAGTTTGCAGCGACCATCAGAGTGATTGATAAAGTTTGCTGCAGTGTAATTATCTTAAATTTTCATGTAGATGGGCGCTTGTGCTGTGCATGCAACTGTTGAATATATTGCAAGAGCAGTGGCCAAAACAGCAATCAGAGCCGTCTCACACCAAAACGGGTGGTGTGAGATGGCTCCGATTGCCCATACAAAACAGATGCGTGGCCCTGCCAGATCGCATCAGCAGGTGGCGCGAGTGACTTCTTCGACTACTGCTCACACATTATAGTTAACAGTTGCATGCACTGTGCAGTGCCTATTTAAGTAAAAACAAACACTAAAAACAATTCACTAGACACCTACTTGGACTTCAAAAGTGTAGGTGTTTCATCTATAAATGGTGTGCATATACGGCTGTACGACACGAGAGCGCACGACACGAGAGCGCCGACAGGAGAGCGCCGCGACACGAGGGTGCGTGCCATTAGAGCGCGCGTCACGAGAGCGCATGTGTGCGCCTTGGGAATGATCGGTGCTTGAGTCTTCAAACACGTGTTTTCTCGGATCGAACGCTTTACGCAATTTTATTGGTTGAGTACGCAGACCTGTGGGAAGTCTAAGAAATACAATTTTTGCAAACTCGAAATGAAGAAGCAAGATACAGAGTTTCGGAAATATAGTTGTTTATCAATTGCCGTTCCATAATATTAAAAAAGAAAAATCAAAGATTGAATGACTCCGCGACACCGCGGAGGTAGTCTAGCATGCACCTTTGGTCGTACTCTTCAACTAGCTTGCTCAGATTCTTCGCTACACGAACGTAGGTGGCCTTGATGCTCCTTTGAGGCTCTCCACGAAGTGCATCCGCCAGCTTCTGCTCTGTCAAGCTCTGCTCTCTTCGAAATGCGACCGCTAGCTTGTACGTGTCCGGATGATGCAGCCCCAGGGACATCTGGAATGCATTGTGCCAGGCCTCGACGTGATTGTTGGTCCTCGGGAGCCCTTCGGAGATCCGTTCGTTGCAGCTCCAGAAGTCGTGCGGGAAAAGTGCTGGCCTACGCGAGCGGCTTCTTCCGATACTCCAGGTTGGACAGGTCACTTGGACCGGACAACGACCGGACCTCCTGAAGGCCATGAGAATCAGTGATAGAAAACCCTTTGGTGCCATTTGTTCCTACTTTACACCTAGGGACCTTCTTTCCGGGGACATTTCTTCCGGAACCCTCTACCAATCACGCTATTAGCGGCGGTACTTGCAATTGTAACATGAACCATACAGCCATAAATTAAAGGGGTGATTAGAGACTTTTACTTCATTTCCCAACATATTTTACCGTATATTGGCACCTCCAATGTCCACATACCTTGAACAGCGCATATCGAAGACAACATTCACAAAGTACAAAGCCCTACTTAAACAAATATTGTTTTGATAAAAGAAAAAAAAAACACCCTGTCTGTTGCATAGAATTTACAATATATTGGGCAACTAACTTCATGCAAAAAACTGCGCTATCCGAGAAAACGTGTGTTTGAAAACTCCGATGTCTATCATTCCCAAGGCGCGTACATGCGCTCTCGTCACGCGCGCTCTAATGGCACGCGCTCTCGTGTCGCGGCGCTCTCCCGTCGTGCGCTCTGCTGTCGTGCGCTCTCCCGTCGTGCGCTCTGCTGTCGCGCGCTCTTCCGTCGGCGCTCTGGTGTCGTGCGCTCTCGTGGCGCCCTTCCGTGCATATACACGTGTATGACAAAAATTAACTCTGGATAGCAGTGTTACTAGCATCACGACAATGTTCATTAAGCGTGGGAGATGTCGGATACTATATCAGGAATACTGATATTCATGATAAAAGGTTACAAATTCGTTGTCTCCATAGGATGAGCAAATTTATCCAAACGGAGATTCCAGACATAGTCTCAAATCAGCCAATATTCCAAGGGCCATATAGCTTGGCTCACCTAAAAGTGTTTACTTCGTTCACCCCTCTCCTTGGTTGTAGCAAAGGTTGTCACAGCGAGTTCACAGGTTTCTGAGGTGCCTTCCATTCTACAAACACGCGTACAGTCCAACCATCTTCCATTGCCATCAGCTCAGGCTCAACACTTTCGTAAATTGGTTACTGGAGGAACATAACTTGTCACAGTACTATATAAGTTAACAAGTTCATGTGAAATAATTTCCTGTTGTTGTGACAGACATACATAAGCATGAGTCTGGACAAAGTTCAAACCCTGCAAGCAATTAAGCACCAAAAACGAAAACTTCCCAGAACCAAGACAAATGTCAACATATTGTAGGGAATATTGCTTTGAAATTCGGACTGGGGTATTTGGTTAAAAAAAAATTTTATAGTTCATCAGCTTTTCCAACACTATGTTATAATCTCTCTGGCTCCCCTTGCATAAGTCAACACCAAGAAAGTTCAGGAGGGTATTGGAATAGCTCCCAGTAGCATGCTACTGGCACTTGGCAAAGCAATAACCATCGTGAAGAGGCTGTGAGAGATCAAGTACTTCAGATAAGAAGGCACTACAAAGGCTTATCCGAAATGCTGTAACTGTTCACAAAATTTGAAGACATACCAGGCTGATCTGGGACCTTGTGTATTGGAACCTCAGGCATGCCCATTACTTTCTAGTGTATTCAACAGTTCTATGTGCAAGGATTAAATGTGAAGGCGGCACATAGTACGTATTGGTCATTGCTGATGCCCTCCTGTCAAGGCATCTTTTTCCCAGAATGTGAAACCCACGCCTCTGTATTTTCAGATTGTTTGACGTTGGTGGACAGCGGTCAGAACGAAAGAAATGGATCCATTGCTTTGAAGACGTCACTGCCATAATTTTCTGTGTAGCCATGAGCGAATATGACCAAGTCCTCCATGAAGATGAAACTACTGTGAGCCTCTACCAGTTTATTTCTCATTTTCCTGAAGCATTACATTTCTTTGCTTATGGTAGTGGGCATTATCTTCTGCTTGGAGCAGCTGTCGAGCCTCCTTGGGAAACTATGAGAAAACCAAAAAAGCAGCAAGTGCACACACTGCGAGGCCTTTAAATGTGTGGCCTCCATACTCAACTGAAAAGCTGACACTGTGTCGCCATTTGCCTAACAAATTTGTAGCACGAAATATGACATATAGACTTCGGTAAAACACTATGAAAGCTAAGAGCACAAAGACATAGCTTTGGAAGACCAACCGATTGTTGAATATATTATCTTTCGTTCTTAATTTACACCACATTTAGAAAGGCCTTGAACCTATATAGTAGAGAAAGGAAACTCGGCTCATGCTTATGCCACCAACGGTATGGGCCACGCACGAAAAATTATGTTTGAGATCTACTAATGCTGTCAAAAGAAAGGTGGAGGAGAATTGATTGTCACATGATGGCACTGTAGCAGCCTGGAAGTGTGGTCTGCTGTGCTTACACGTCTACTTCTAGGTCCTCCTTTTTCAAACATATTTGTTCTGATGATATGTTCTACTCCTTTAAACATAGCACATTTCTGCTCCTGTGATCTACTTTAAACATTTGGCTGAATGCCTCTATAGATGTTTGCTTGCTGTCCTTACTTAATACTTTTTCAATATTTTCTTTCATTGAAAGCCAATTTACTGTAGATCACTTTGTTTTTACAGAGCAATCTATTTTTGTTTGAAAACACATTGCATGCAGACAGTTGTCTTTAGTTGCTTTGGTCTTTCAAGAAAAGATCCAGACAGTTGTCTTTAATTGCTTTGGTCTTCCAAGAAAAGAACATTTGTTAGATATGCACACATAATGTCATGTCATGCTTACCTTGATATGCTCATCCCCTATTTAAAGCATTCCTAGGAAAATACGTTTTCGGGGCTCACATGCCAAACAAACCAAGGGCTTCTGCCATACCCCAGCGAAGGACTGAGAGCAAATTTAGATTACCTGGGAATCTTTTTAAGTGCAACCAAAAGTCTTCGCCGCAATAAGGCTCCATCAAATTGCAAGCACCTTGGCTGTGGTTCGAACCTGCCAACTGGTGACTGGAGACTGGTAGGCCGGGGCTCTGGAAGCACTGGTGGAACCGACAAGTGGTGATTTGAAGCAGCTCTTGTAGCAAAGAGCAACAGGTTTTGGAGCAGAGATTCCCACTCCTGGAGCAGACAATTTTGAGCTTCTATGTCAGAAAATTTTATAAGATCGCTTTTAAAGTTAGCCTGTGGAAAAAACTGCAGTTGTAGGAGTGTTAATTGGGAGATATTTATTCATTTATTGAACAATCATACACAGGTCATTTTGCAGATGTCTCGATTAACCTATTAGGATTACTGATGGCGTCTTCAGTCTGCGTTTGACATAAAGAGATGTTTTGGGCTACCGTGTAGGGTTGGTGGTATCCCGGTGACGTCATTTTCGCGAATTCGACATCAAACGGACACTTTACTGTCGAATGTGTCTCACACTGCTCTCGCTCGTATTCCACCAGCTGCTGTTCATAGAGCAGCTAAGCCGACCACATAGCTATTCTAACCAATCACAACAAATAGTGCTAGCTATTCATTGCGATCGACGTGAGCACCGTTCGCACAAGAAACGATAACTCTTTGTTAGGCTTGTGCAAATAATAGATTTTGAGTTTGAAGCGAATTCAAAGCGAATAGTGGTTTTGGCCAATTATATTTTAATTGAATATTAATAGTTTCTGCGCCTTCCACCACGAATTTCACTACTGTTACACCATGGTTAAGCGAAAATTCAGCTTAATGCAAGAAGGTTGTTCCCAAGCTTCTAATTGCCCACTTATGAGCTCCGCTAAATTTAACCAAGCTATATTTATAGACTGGCCTCAGAAAGTTCAATACCTACACTGGGATGGCAAGTAAACGACACATTTGACATGAAATTAAACCTATAAAGGAGCCCAGCCATACCTAATTGGGGGGATTTATAAATCTTCTTGCTATATGCAAATATTTTCTTCAATTCTGAGTTAAAAGAAAGAAAAAGAAAGTAATGAACACAGGTTGTTAGAACATCGCTGCCTAACATATACCCTTGCATAACAGCCACAGCTTTTTTTTTTTTTTTTTGCATTGAAGGTGTGTTTTTCACTTAAGCGCACGGCTGCGCTGAGGCGAAGCGAGGCGCGAGATCGCGATATGAGCTCCGCGGGTATTGCTTCTCCGCAGTGCACCGGTGCTTGAGGAGAAGCGCACTGTTCATTTTGAAGCGAATATCAGATAGCATATTATTTGAAACTACTATTCCAAAATTCGAATAATCGCACAACCCCACTCTTCGCATAGTACTTACGCTCCCGAAAAAAAAAGAAAAACTGCACTTTCTTAATTTTTAGTGGCATCGCCAACAATGCCACGTGCCAGACACTTTCAGTTTTCATTTTCGAGAACAGCTCCCTTTTGCCGCAGACAAGGCGCAAATTGTGCACAAATACAGCCTTTGGAGCAGCATGTAGCGGGTTATTCGTTCTGGTGCAGTTTGGCACAAATGTTGCAGAAGTTCCACCACTGTGGAAGTATCAAGCACGTTCGTTACACAAGAAAACTATTGAAAAACCGGACATTTTATCACACAGTGCTGGATAACTGGGACGTGACCGTGCTTATACGAGCCAGCAGTTGGATGTGAGCAGTTCAAGCCAAGTTCAGAGGTGTCCAGGAGATAGGGGGCGATGGGAGGGGGCAGAGAATCACCCTCTCTTTACCCCAAATTGCTTATTAGAAATGTCTGAAATATTAAGGGGGGGGGGGGGGGGGGTCCCCCCCGCCCATTCTGACACCAGTGGTGTCTTATGACATTGAAAACTAAACAGGATATTGAATTAAATTGTCATCAAATTATAGTGTCTTTGGAAAAGTCGAGGAATTGTCAAGGAACTTGGCAAACGACCAGTCAGATGCAGGGAATTTTGTGTAGCCTTTATTTACCTCTTGCTCCCTTTAAAGAGCAGTGGTAGTTTCTACCACACATACTGACAACAGGGGGAGTAATATCAGAGTAAACACTTCAAATGTGAATTAAGATTTTGTCCAGCTCATACAGAAATTCTTAAAAGCCTTCACTGCTGTATTTTTATTATTTTTTATACCTCTTGAGTTCACGTTTGTTAAAGATTTTGCTCAGAAAGTCATTAAAAATGTGAGTCGAAAAACTTGAATTTGCGATTACATTAGACACCAATTTTTGTCCGAGTGTTATTGAACAACCCCACAATTTAGAACGGGCACACTTGTGTGCAATAAGGTTACACACAAATATTTAAAGGTTTTATGTAGAGTATAAGAAGTGCTCTGCATCCGTCATGCAACGAAATATTATTGCTTTTGGTCAACAAGTCAAGTAAGCTTAACTAAAATGAAGTATGTGCTGCTCTTTACAGAACCGCATGCAGGAGTCTCTAAAGCTCTTCGACTCCATCTGCAACAACAAGTGGTTCACCGACACATCTATAATCCTCTTTCTCAACAAAAAGGACCTCTTTGAGGAGAAAATCAAGAAATCTCCACTCACCATATGTTTCCCCGAGTACACAGGTAAGCAAATGCTGTGAACCAACTGGTAAAACAGAACAAGAGCTTGCATTAGGCTACACAAAATAAAGCAGTCTGAAAGATAATGCTGGGGTGCCTGTCCAAAAGTCTAAAAGAAGTCATGTTTGGACTGAATTTTGTAGTGTGACATGAATCAATCCACATAGCATCTGTAATTGAGCAATGTTTGGCATCCACTTAGCATCTGTTGGCCAGCTTTGCTCCAAAATTGCAAAGAACTGGTTAATGGCTGATTGTGTCTAAAAATAGAATATAATGATATCACATTAATACCCAGTCAAGCTCGGTAAATGCTAAATTTTTCACTCTTGTAAGCTGCGAGCCTTTGTGGGCCATATAACAAAGTTATTGGTTAAGAAAGCGGAGACATGCTCATCACTGAAGTTCATGAGAAGTGTTGTATCACTCACAATTAAATTCTCGCTATTCATGTATTTGCTTTTGAAAGATAAAAGGGCTCACACTCTTGTTTATTTGATAAAACTAAAACAAGCAGCTTCATTTGTTACCTTTTAGGCAAAAAGGATTTATAGATCAAAGGCCAACCAATGCCCAACTGTGATTTCTGATTGCATAAAACTCATGCAGCACACATTCGCAAGGTTTTATTCATACCTGTGCCAAAGCCACCTTCAAATCCCGAGGGCTACTCAACTCCAATAGACCTTTCGCTAAATTGCCGAAGCATCAAAGATAATGTTGGGAACGCAGGTAGACGCCGCCGCATGCGCTCGCCTTCCCTATGGAAAATATTAGCAGTAAATAACCAAAATAAAGCGGTCGTGGAATGCACGTGCAAAATAGAATTTGTTTCAAATTTTTGCTTTGGAACAGTTAGAGCTGAAGAGACCAGCACGCGCAGCACGTGTACCTACGTTCCCGGCATTCTTTTTGATGCGTAGGTAATTCGGCAAAAGCTCTATTGCTGAACCGGGTGCTGAACTTGATGTTGCAGTTAGGCAACAAGGAATCTCAATTAGTGTTGTTGCTATTTTAGAACCCTAGGGTTTCAGCTTTTAAATAGCTTATGAGGGCTGCTCCTATAAGGTTTCTATTTCTTCTTGCTTGTCTATCTCACATACCGACCACAGTGACCTTGAACCAGAGCCGAGGGATTTTCCCGATTTTTCCTGAAAAGCTTTTGTGCCTTGCTCCGTCGTTTGACGCAAAGCAGGTAGTTTGCTGCGACGACAACTCACTCGACCCGTTTCTGTGCCGGGGACAGGTGCTCAAGAATACGGGGAGGCGGCTGCCTACATCCAGGCGCAATTTGAGGCCAAGAACAAATCCACCACCAAAGAGATCTACTGCCATATGACTTGTGCCACGGACACCACCAACATCCAGTTTGTGTTCGACGCAGTCACAGATGTCATCATCGCCAACAATCTGCGAGGCTGCGGACTCTACTGAGCCGGGCTCAACGCGGAACGTACGGCGCCACTGCTACAGACACCACTACCATCGCCCACCCAGCCGAGACACGGCAACCAACGGGGATCTCTCTCTCTTCAACGGCAGCCTCCTTGCCCCCCTTTTTTCCTCCCTTGGTTGGCCCGCTTCAGTTTCCCCTCACCGAGACGCGGGGAAGCCACGGTCTCCCCCGCATCTCGGTCCCTTCCCCACCCGACGTGCGCAGCGAGGGGTGCCTCCCTCTCTCGGAGAAAGACACGAGCGAAACAAAGATTCCAGCACCTCTTCTGCTCACCCGGCAGCCAAGTTGCATGTCTGTCCTCCTCCCGCGCATTTTTGGTGAGCACGAGCAGAGACGTGGGCAGCCACTGCCCCCCCGCGTCGCCGGTGGCGTCTGCAAGCGAGGGCGAGAGGACTTCTGTTCCCCACCAGGAACCAAACGGGAAAAACAGCCTCTTCTGCTCACCGGGCAGTCAAGTTGCATGTTCGTCCTCCATCGTGTTTTGTGAGACAATGCCTCCGTTTTGCCGCTTTGTCTCCGCTTCCGTTGCCCCAGCTGGGTGGCAGCCGTGGACACTGAACTTGTGGATGTGTTCTCCCTTTCGCAGGTTGGGGAGGTATGCAACCTTTTTCCATTTCTCCTTCGTTTTCTTAAAACTGTTGCTGTTGGTGGCGTTACTAGGGCGTTTATTTATTTGCGTGCAATTGTCGGAGAGGCCCCTGTGTGGGCTCCTTCCCCCCTCTCCCAACCCGGAGTGTTGCGTGTGTGTCTTCTCAGTTGGGCTCTGTACAACAGACGGGGCCAGGCGGTCGGATGTCCGTCCCCCGCTGGCACCTTGTCCCCAGAGGGTCCCACCCGGTGGCGACAGCCGCTAACCCTTCCGTTTAATGCTCCCTTCCCCCAGCCTTGTCTCTGTTCTATTCCGCTGACTGCAGAGGGGGATAAAAGAATAAATGCAGACTCTACACATCAAACAACCCACACCTCAAGTCTGAGAAAAAAAAATAATGCAAGTGAAGGATTCAGAGCTCAGCGGAGTCACGGGAGGAGCAAATGCTAGAGACGTCTCTACAAAAATGGACTGCCTCGTGTGTTTCTAACTGTACAGCCATAGTTTCTAATTCATCCCATCCTTCTTTGTTTTTCTAAGAACAAAATCTGAACCAGGATCTGTTTTACATCGCAACACCCGCGCACGTTAAATCGTGCGGTGCTGTGTTCGAGGAGCAGTCAAGACTGCCCGCATGCAGGCAAGAGGAAAAACCCTCGAAACATCTTAATCCGCGTTATATGTACACATATATATCCATATAGTTGCGTATATTTATATATATGTACATATATAAGCGTATATGTATGTATATATAAACACAAATATGTGCGAAAATTGTTTGAGGAGTTCCACACAGACACAAAATAAAGACAGCAGGAGAGTAGGCAAAGTCAAGAAGCGAGGTGCCGCTTAAAACGAGAGAAGCAACAGACGTTTTTGCCAACGTAGCCTAGTTTGGTAGACCTCTTGCACCGCCGCTAACTGCTCTGCCAACCTGGTTCTTCGTCGAAACGGTGCAAAGACGGTGCGACGGACGAACCCCCAAAGTGATGTATTATATGATGCTAGGGCAGGGGAGGGTAATTTCCCACCCCTTTCCCTTTTGTAAAAGCACGGTTCTTTTCTTCCCCTCCCCCACTGGCCTGTCTGAGCCGGAAACTCCGCATTGCCGTGGTGAACGGCAACCCAGCGCTCTTCCGGCTGGCACACATTGGCCGTCTCTCGCATAGGGAAGAGACGTACGAACAAAGACATACAATGACAAAAAAAAAAAAGCAGCAGCAAAGTGAAGTTGTGCATGTGTGCATGTTTCTGTGGCGAGACTAGGAGGATGACTACTCTAACTAGCTGAGATAGAGGGCGAGAAAGCATCCTACGTTGCAATTCTTTGTTCTGCTGTTCTTTGCCCTGTTGTTTTTGCAAGGAAGCTCAGTTCCCTTGAATTTGTCCCGCCTTGTGAAGGAGACAGACAGAGCAGGTGCGAAAGGGACCACGTCCCAGGTTTAGAGCCCCAAGCCCGGGACGTCCTTCCTTTTGGAAGATGGCAAGCTAGGAAAGAGGGCGGTATATAAATATATACATAAATATATATAATTATATGTGTACCGTGTGAGAGTGCAGGAAGCAAAGCCTCTTTGTTTTCAAAAGTGCTTTTGGAAACTCGAGCATCTGTCCTCTAACCCGGACCCGTCTTCTGTATCGAGGGAAAATACGACAGCCCCTGTTCATTTCACATCAACCCTCCATGCGCCTGTTACTTGGCCCCATTATTTTTCATAAGCAGCGACTCGCGTTACCCTCCAGGTGGGAAGGCCTGCGTCTGTGTAGTCATTCAAAGTTGTTCAAGTTCAAAAAAAAAAAAAAATGTGAGCCAATGGGAGCGGTCTGAGCTACAATGGAACAGTGTATTCTGCTACCGCATTGGGGATTCTTAATTGCTTTGTCCTCTGCCTGTTGCTCTTCCCTCGCGGTGATCTCCCTCTTATGACTCGCAGTTTCAAAATGCGCTTTCGTTGCACTCTGGCACCCAGAACAAGTGACAATTTGCTCAGGTACTCCTCCTTCTCTGCCAGCGTCCCCAGTGCTCTGGAACAGGGCCTGGGCAACCGCCACCCGAGAGCAGTATTTCAACACCTTGCAAAATTGTGTTTGTCCGTTTTTTTCCTCCTCCAAGATGGTTCTAGTGTGTGCGGCAATGTTTCTGCAAGCGTCCCTCAACGATTCCTTTTGCCTGCGCGACTAGTTCCTCGCCATTGGTTGTTGCAGTTGAACAGAGGCTTTGTTCTTCGCCGCGTAGGGCCGTCCCTTGTTTGCTTCCGGTCACTCCCGCTGTTTCGGCAGGAGCGTCCAGCCATGTCCCCTTCCCTTCCCTTCCCTCCCTCCCTCCCTCCCTCCCTCCCTCCCTCCCTCCCTACCCCTCCCCTCCCCTCCGCCCCCCCCCCCCCCCCCCCACCTCGCCAAGTTGAAATTGTGCGCGCAAGGCAGCGTACCCAACCCGACTGCACCAAAGCTCCTCTGGCTATGCAAAAGGCCTCCCGGACGACTCTCACGTTGTTCCAGGCCGTTTGCACTCTTCCAAGCTATGCTGGAATGAAAGGCCTCCCCCCGAGGAGGCTTTCTTTCGTCGGTCCCCATAGAGCCAGGTAAAGAGGCCAGAGGGCAACATAGGTGGCCGTGATATGTCTCAGCGCAGCCCAAAACCACGTCGGAGCCGGTGGCGTGCGTTGGCCCCGGCCATTTTGAAGTGCAGTGCTTTATCGCTTTGGTTCTTCCACTTTCTCCCTCTGGCACAAGGGACACATTCCTCGTGTTTGGGTCGGGACGTTTGCATTTGTCTCACCTGCTGCGGGTTGCTTTTCAAGCTGTCGCTGCGCCTGTTTTAATTGGCCGGGAAGCCCCGTGCCTGGCCGACACCCGCCTGTTTCCCCCCTGGGTTGAGATTACAGAGCCCCGCAAATAACCCCCTCTTTGCAGGGCATTTGGCCATTTATGCTTTTCTGGGACCATGCACGTTTTGACTGTGAGCCTCCCTTTCCCCCTCTTGGTTCCTGGTTTGTCTGTTGTCCCACTTTCCTCGCCGCAGAAGCCTTGTGTTTGCCCCGTGCTTCTTTTTCTGAGGTGTCAACTTAAGTATGAGGAGTGAGTTTAGCCAATGTGACATGCAGCTCTTGACCTGTTGTTTTTTCTCTAAGGCAGCAAGTGATCCGAGCAGCTGAAATAACAACCGAGACATCCAAACCACCTGCTCTATAATGACAACAAAAAGTTTCTCTTTTTTTTTTGTTCTGTATGCAGTATCTGCAATTTTAATGCCAATGAATAAACCTCCTTTGTCGTGTGTTCCTTGGAAATGTGCCATTTTTTTTTATTTCCTCGGTTACACACTTTCAGGCAGTGGAGAAGGGCATGTGAGCGTTCGTTTGCCACCATACCTGAATAATGAACCAAAGTAAGGATAATGGCATGCAGGTGGTAGTTTAATGTGTGAACATGCCCAATAGTATTGTACTTTGTTGCTGACAATTGTTTCGTCTTGGGCGTTCTACTAGGTTAAGTTTCATTGAAAATGGTGTGAACAATTTATTGGCAGGCAATTGCAAGACTTCCTTCCATCATCATCCTAGAAAAGTTCCTGCACAATCAGTGCCATCAAGACATCACGATTCAAAAAAACTGTTCATGAAACAAGAATTGATGGAGTATGTTTCGACTGACGCAGTGTCTTAAGTGCCATCCGACGCCGTCCTACCCGTTGCTCAAGCGTCGTTCGGCGGCTCTTCTACCAAGCATTTGAGTGCTATTCATTAGTGAAGAACAGCATGCTTTTAGCATACTTCAGCCAAAATTAGTATCCCTACTTTTTTAGTATACCTTATAGTGTTTAATGGCTAATTTCGAGTATGCTTTCCCATAAATATTTTAATATTACTGTCTTAGGTAGAAAATACACGAGAAAACAAAAGAATCAGCCTTTTAACTTCTCCGGTGGCGCAACGATTAGCATGCCTACCCACTAAAATTTGTTCCCCTTCGTATACGAGGCTTGCACATGATGTTATCCAAAGAGTGCCCCGATGGCCACCAGAGAATGGAGGAAGGAGTTCCCCTTTTTTAATACCCTCTTTTATGTCTCACAGATTTGCCCAGACGTCACTATCCCCCCCCCCCCCCCCCCCAAGAAGAATATAGAAGATTAGCCCGCCACTCAAAATTCCTACAAAAAAAGCTTCCTTCTCTCTCTCTCTTTCAAGGTGGCCAAAAGTATGCGATGTGACGTCAGTGCAAGCCATGTACATAGAAGTTGGATATTGCACGCGATCAGGGGAAATTTTTTATGTTTTTTTCCTCTGCCATCGCTCTGCTTTGGGTAGCGGCTGTCACCAGTGAAGAACTTTAGGTCTGAACTCAAACGATCTTGAATCACAGAGTCGTAACCCTCGAGAGCGCACCGTTTCGGCAAAGGCGAATAGGCCACGTGCATGCAGGCAAGCATGGGCTGATAGGCTCTTGTGACATCTGCTTTGCTTCAACTTTCTGATAGAAGAAATGAGCGGAAAGCGGCCAACGGAACACAACGTCTGAATAACAGTGCAACTCGAGTTTAACACCTTGGTGCTTAAATTAGCGTTAGTGACACTGCCAACAAACCAATTTTCAATTAAGCTCGGTCGATGGAGGCGGCAGACTCTTGGAATGCCCATGGCCCCTCTACAGTTTTCAGTGTTTGAATGCAGGCACGGAGTGTTAGCGTAGCAGAAGTTAAGACAGCAAGCTCCAGGCACTCTGGGCTTTCAGCGTCCAATGCTCGTGCAGTGCGTCTTCGAGGGCAACATGCTTGTGCTTTGGCTTTGCTCGCACATAAAACGACACATACCGTCTAAAACGTGTATTCGTAATTTCTGGAAAACTTCCAGGAGTGGCTCTGTATTGTTGTAGAAGTTTCATACTGCGGTCTCATGTTTAAGCGCCAACTTGGGCAACTATGAAAAAATCAAGACCTAGGAAAATGTTTCGCAGCAGTCTGCGCTTCACAGCCTAACAAAAATGTCTGCTGCAAGGTGTTTTATCCAGCGAAGTACAGGGTGAGGCCGTAAGGACCAGCACACTTGGCACGCCTTGCAAAATCCTAATTCTAGTCATACATACCTGAAACTAGGCACGCGAATGCCGCTTCGCAGAAAGATTTATCCCGATCTTTTCTTTAGAGCTCAACTCGAAGTGGTGAAATATTAAGGTAGTGTCTATTCTCCCGGCAGCTAGGAGAATAATTTCCCCGAAATACGAACGCACCCCATTAGCGGTGGCAATCAGTTAATCGTACGACGTTTCATCGAGATTGTTTCATTGACAGCTCAGATTAGCTTTTTTGTGTAATGAGCCACCACAGCCTGTCGCCACAAAAAGGGCGTGAACGGGTGGGCCGAGTAGATTAACACGCGCCTCAGTGATACATGCGCGACGACATGTCCCTACAGCGTGCAATTCGCGTAACAAGTGTTGATGAAACATTGGTATCGACGAAACATGTATCCACGAAAAGTTGCCCATGAAACAGGTTTCCACAAAACGCCGGGAGAATAAAGAAGTCAATATTCTACCGGCAGTTGTCACATGATTTCAGACAGCTATTTATTTAATTATTTATTTATTACATGTACGCTCAGGGCCTTTGGCACTGATGAGGGGAGTGGTTACAAAAATGATGTTGAAGTAAAAGAAAGCATTACTAGAAATACAAAAAATGGCGTCTATTCATACAATATTAGTTAAGGCGTTCTTGAACAGGTGGAGGTCTTCGATTGAAGCTGTTGGTACGGGAAGGCGATTCCACTCTTCTGATGTGCGTGGGAGAAATGACTGAAAAAAAGCATTAGTCCTGCACGATGGGACACCGACCTTATGGACGTGATCTAATCGAGATGAAACGTATTGGGGAGGTAATATAAGTTCGGCGCGGAGATGGGGCTGATAAAACAACTTGTGAAAGAGGCAAAGGCGAAAGTTTTTACGACGAGATGACAAAGACGGTAAGTCAAGGCTGAATTTCATTGTGGTTATGCTCGCAGTTCTGTTATAGTTAGACAAGATAAAGCGAACAGAGTTAATCTGGACCATTTCGAGTGAGTGAATTAGATTTTCATGACAAGGGTCCCAGGCTGAAACGGCATATTCGAGTTTTGGACGAATTAGTGTTTTGTAAAGTAAAAGTTTTAGAGATTAGGGAACTTTTGCAAAATTACGTCGAAGATATCCCAACATACGGTTAGCGTTATTAATTATATATGTTATATGAACTGTCCAAGTGAGATGTGTGAGATGTGTGATGTGAATACCAAGATATTTATAACTAGTCACAGCATCTAGGGGCGAGTTATGAAGATGGTAAACAGGTAGATTATGATTTTTCCTGGACACCCGCATAAATTTACATTTGTTAATGTTCAATTGCATGCACCACGTTTTGCACCAAACAGAAATAGCGTTAAGATCGGACTGGAGCGTGTTAATGTCATTTTCACAAGTTATTTCCCTAAATACAACACAATCATCGGCAAACAAATGAATATGGGAAGAGACACAAAAGGGTAGATCATTAATGTATATAACAAAAAGAAGAGGTCCGAGCACAGAGCCTTGTGGCACACCGGAGTGAACGCCACTCGGCTGAGAGAGGTGATTATTAGCTACAATGAACTGCGAGCGGTTAACCAGAAAACATTCAAGCCAGATAAGAAGTTTTGGGTCAAGGTTAAGTTGGTGCAATTTATAGAGTAATAGCTTATGGCATACCTTATCAAAGGCTTTTGAAAAGTCTAGAAAGATGCAATCGGCTAATGAGGAATGGTCAAGAATAACATTGAGTTTATGAAAGACTGATACCAATTGTGTTTCACATGAGTAGGTTTTTCGAAGGCCATGTTGTGACGACATGAAAAACGAATTATATTCAAGGAAGTTGGCGAGGTTCGAAAATTTTCTTCGAAAATTTTACATGGGATGCTGGTTAGTGATATTGGTCGGTAATTAGGTGGAGAATACTTGTTACCTGATTTATGAAGTGGAATCACCTTCCCGACCGTCCACTCAGCTGGAAGACAACCATTATCGATGGTCTGTTGAAAAATTTTTGACAGGATAACTGAACAATAAACGCTCGTACATTTTAAAAATTTGGGGCTGATGAGGTCACAACCAGGAGCGGAGGAAAGTTTAAGTGATCTAATTATGCTTTCGACACCTAAAGGATCTATGATTATCGGGAAAATAGCAGGGTAGTCGTAAGAATTGGTAGTTGGTAGTGGGATGTTGGAAGTTACAGAAAAATTATGCGTAAAAATTTCATTGAAGATAAACGGACATTGATGAGGGGGAATGAGATTCCCTGAACTGTCAACTAATGAAATATTATCATCATCAGCAAGATCTATCACGCGCCAAATTTTTTTAATGTCGGTTACAAGCATGGATGGTAACGTAGTATTATGGTATTTTTCTCTGGCTGTTTTAATGGCCGCCACGTATTCATCAGAAGCCAGTTTGTAAGCGGCCCAACGAGCATCGTCTGATGATGAATTGGCCGATCTGTACAATCGCGTTTTTCTGTTAGATAGACGTCTGATTGGGGGGGGGGGGGGGGGTTATACCAGGGAGCATTACTGTTAGATATGATAGTGCGGGTAGGAATGTACTTATTAGTTAAGTCGTTAATCTTGGCCACGAAGATATCCCAGTTGGATTGCACGCTGCGAATATCAAAGTCCTTCAAAAATGTTTCGAGGAAGACGGATAGATCACTATTAATAGCCTCAAAATTTGCCTTTCGGTAATTACGAATAGTTTTCATTTTTCTTTTAGTCTTAACGCGCTGCAGGTTGACGTGAAATGACAAAAGGGTATGATCACTCAAGCCAGGTAAGTAAGTAATTTCTGAGATGAGATCAGGGCAAGATGTTAGTACAAGGTCTAGTGTATTCGCGACTGATTCGGTTATTCTTGTGGGTTGCTTGACAAGTTGCGTGAATGAAAAGAGAGAACATAGATTTAGAAATTCATCTGCTAGAGTGGAAAAAGGTTGCATACAAGGCGATTCGCTGTCCCATGAAATATTAGGAATATTAAAATCGCCCAGTAAAAATAAAGGTAATGTAGGATGACGAGACACAACTAGGTTAATTACATGTAGCTCGTTTACGAAGGTGGAAGAATAATTAGGGAAACGATACCAAGCACCAACAATAACTCTTTGCCGATTCATTTCAATAGTAGCCCATACCATTTCCAAGTTGCTGGGGATATGAATACACTGGGAAGGCAATTCCTTGGAAATGGCCAAAAGAACG